TGTGTTTCCTGCTGCACCTGTTGTGAAGCCGTTTCCAGCAGCAGCGTGCAGTATGTGAGCTGTCGCTGCTGGGGCTGCTGTTCAAATAGTTCTTTGTTTGTCACTGTAGAGATGGAATAAACTTTTTCACCTAGCCACCACCTGCCTTTCTTCTCTAAGAAAGCAAAACACAGTTCCTTCTCTCTTTCCCGAGGGCTGGGGTGGGGGGTTCCAGGCGGGGAAGTGGCAGAGCAGCTCCAGCCAAGTGCTGCGCTGTAAACAGCACACTCATGCTGGTATCTATTTTTAGGCAAGCCCTCTTCCTGCTCCTCACAGAGTCTGTTTGGTAGAAGGTTTGAGCAGAGGGCTCCAAGACACCCCTGCAACCAGACATCTAGCACAGGCCGCTGCTGTAAGTGATCAGCCTGCACTGCGTGCACACTGTTCACTGCAGGGAAGCCTTTTCAGAGCAGTCTGGTACAAAACACACACAGACAATCTCATTAAAAGTTATTTATTAACCTAAACCAGCAGCAGTGCTGCCTTCCCCATCCCTAAGGGGAAAGCCCAGGCACTGAAGTGCTTGCAAGTACTACAACTGTCATCACTTCAAGTAATGCAGAGGGAGCAGGAGTTTTTGGACAGCTCTTGCAACCTTTTAGGGAGGCATTTCCTCCCAGCCGGAGGGTGTAGGCAGAGAGAGCACTGCATTTGCACGTGGAGATTTGACCTGGCCAGAACCAAGAGCTACTGCTTGGAGCTTGAGGACACTGGCTTACAGGGGAGAAGCACTTTTGCAAGGAGTAAGGGTGGAAAAAAACACAAAGCCCAAAAACCCAAAACACAACAAAACCCACCAACCTTCCAAAAGCCAAGTCAAGCAAAGGGGGAAGAGGATCATTCAGTCAACTTACAGCAGAGGAAGAATCAGCCTCAAGAGTTCTTGGAAGGCTCAGGAGGGAGCAAGATACATGACCGGAGTTGAGAACCATCCATCCATCCAGATGGATAATCCTTTTCCAAGTAGCTGGATCTTCACAGAAACAGTAGCCCAAACCTTTACAGATCAAGTCCTGAGCCTTCACAGGTAACTAAACACTGAAGTGGCAGCACCAAGCTTGGACCTGAGCAAAACCACCCTGATTTTGGAGAGGAGGGTCTTCCCGAAGTGAAGTCTAGTTCTTCCAAAAGGACTCTGTCTTAATACACAGACTACTACTAGACTACTGCTAGCCCTTTTGAAGTTCAAAAGCTAGGAAGAGCCTACTGTCAGGCTGTCAAGTCAAGCCTTCCTCTCCATCTCTTCTGTTTCAACAAAAATTTACAAGACGGCAAACGGACAGGCCATGCACAATCGTTCAAAGGGAGTGCCGAGAGCCAGGCTGCTGCTATGTGCGTCAGTTGAAAAGTTGTGCCACAGCTCTATGACAAGGGATGGGTTATCTCCTCAGACTGCATTAAAAAAGGAAGTGGGTTTAAAGTACTAAGTTACTGTACATTGTCTTAAGAAACCTGGAATTTAGCAACAGTGCACAAGAGAAAGAAACTGTTGCATTTGCAGGCAAGTGAACCAGCAACCAGTCCTAGCCTGAACATACGCTGAAGACCAGGAGAGCAGGCCAGAACTATGGCGAGCAACGGAAACCCTGCAGCCTGGCTTGCTGTGACAGCTGGACCTGTTTGTGTGGCAGCATCGGTAACTACACCTGTCTCTTTTCTGTGCTCTGAGAAAGGAACTCACTTTTAGTCAGACTCCCGCTTCAGCACACCCCCCCCAGCATCAGGTCCAGTTGATCCTCCTCTTCCCTGGCACTTGGTGCAGAGGAACGGCAGCTTGGTTTGGCAGGTGAAGCTAAGACACTTAACAGTTTTGCTAAAAGCAGAGGAAGCCAGATCTAGCGTCTGGGAGCTGCAGCACTTAGCTTCCTTCCTCTCATTTTTTCCCATGTGGGAGCACAGTAGTCAAGAAGCAAAGATCTTCCGGGAGGCAGCCATGTCCAGCTGCTTCACCCCCATGGGCATGTTCTCCTTGTTTTCCGACCCAGGCTGCTGAGGCCGCTTGCGGAAATAGCAGGTTCGGCAGACGGAGTGGTACTTGTCTGCTCCTCCAATCACTTCAACCTGGCAAGAAAATTGGGAGAATGACTCTGCAGAGCTCAGTTCCCCTGAGGAGATCCCTCTAGACTAGCAGGACTGGCAAGGTGAAGCTACTGAAGGGCTTTCTGTTCCAAGGGACCTCACCTGCTTCTCTGCTCCCAGCCTCTTTGTGTAGGAGGCTTCTCGGTAGCACTCCATGCACACGGCATTCAGCTTCACCACACTCTCTGCCAGTGGCACCAGGTTCAGGATGCTCCCGAAGGCCTGTGCCAAGACAACAGGGGCGGTTCTGTTGGATGGGTTCTGTGAGGATCCCAAAGCAGCTGCTTTACTAAAAAAAATAAAAGCGTTTTACCTTTCTCTGGAAAGTCCCATCAAGAGCCGCAACGATGACAGTTTTTCCAGCATTGGCCATCATCTCACAGAATTCCACGATGTCCGGGAACTAGAGGAGGCACAGAAACAGCGTCAGGAAGGGCAGCACTTCACTCAGGATCCAACAGCAAATGCCCAGACTGCAGCACAGGGCGCAAAGAAAATTAGAGCCATGTTGCCTATCCATGAAACAGACTCCAGTCCCGCTGTCTTCAGCGTGCGGGGACTAAGGGAAGGGAAGGGTTTGACTATACGAGCATAGTCAGCAGGATCAAACTGCCCCAGAGTATTTCTTCCCATCCCCTCCTACAGAGGATTCAGACCTTTGCCTGCACAGGGTGCTCTGCAGAGACTGCATCCTGCAGAGCTCCCCAGGGGCCTGCCCTGTCCATGCACTTACGAACTGGCCCTCATCAATGCCGATGACCGCGGAGCCCAGCGCCTCCTGGTACACGTCCTTGAGGACGCAGGCTGGCAGGGCCTCCATGGTGTTCCTGAGAGGAAGGGAGAACAAGAGGGTGAGCCAGGCAGCCCAGCTCCAGGGTTGGGCCCTCCTGCCCCAGGCACTCACTTGTCGTGTGTGGAGACACCGGAGGCGCAG